TAGGCAAAAGGTTGTATTTGCTTCCTTTGTTTAAGGTCTTTTTTCTCCTTTTAAAGTGATCTATGAGAACTTGTGATTTGGTCTTTCTGATCCGGAAGGCATGTCAGGTGTCAGTTTTTGAGTTTTGTGGTAGAATTTTTTTGCTGGTTATGTATCATTTTCAAAATTTGAAGGGAGTAATGAAGTTAGAGTGTTTGTCTGCTTTTGTTCAAATAGAACTTTATTCATGCCCATCTGACTTGGCAATGATCTTCCAGTCGGTTGGGTCTATGTTATAGTGTTCCTTCTTTGTTGGATTTACTTGTACAGAGGACAGAAGAGAAACATTTGAAACTATACTTGGTTTACTAATTCTTTGGTTAAAATACCAATTTTTTTGGAAGTTCATTATCAAAGACCCTTTTTGTAACGGTTAGTAGACTGGATTCATCTAATTGTGCGTCAAGAGACAGGATACCGTCTCTATTACATCTTGTGAGCCCTCTGTTGACAAAATAACCCATATGAGGGACGCTAGAACTGAGTCGTGGTGACAGCAGTGTTATTGTAAATTTAAACAACTGAAATGCTTCTACAAGAAGGTTCATGGAAAATTGGAAACTGGCAGGGAACCTCTGGTTGACATCTCATGAATGACGGCAACCTGCTGGACCATGGACATGGACAAGCTTTATATGACTGTTCTGTGATCCCGTAACTCCTTTACCTCAAAAATTGCTTGCCAGCAGTGAAAGCAAAGCACAGGATCATCAAACTGTTCCCTGCTGAGAACTTCAGGATTTCCATTAGCGGAAACCATTGCGAGAAAGAAGTGATCAACCGGGGGCATGTTGTATTTTTTATGAAGACGACAATTCCGAATTGGTGTATTGTTCGTGGACAGCGGTGCCAAAGTTCGAACTTCCCAATTTCTCAAGCTTGATGCCTTTCCCGGTCTCCCCTATGTGAATGTTATTGTGCGCCTGACAGAGCATGTGTTTCCGGCTGAACGATCTGATCTGCCTCTGAAGCAGTGCCGCTACACCAAAGAAAAAGTTTCTTTGAATGCTTAGGGTGCGTTTGATGAAAGTTTTTAAGTGTTTTAGGTTTTTTATATTATTTATATTTTATAAATTTAAATTTTTTATAAAAAAATTATATTTTATAAATTTAAATTTTTTTAAAAACGTTTATATTTTAAAATATTTTTTTAATTTTAAAAATATTTTAAATAGTGAAAGATTAAAAATTTTAAATTCAAAATTTTCATAAATTTTTTTATTATTTTTTTATATTTAAATGTAATTTTTAAATTTTTTTAATAAAAATTTTAATTTATCACTTGTAAATAATAAAAAATAAAAATAAAAGTTCTGACAAACCGCACCTAACAGTTCTCAGTGCTTCGCTGGGCCTAAATGGTTGTGAATTGTAATGGTGACACGTGCTTTTGATCTTTTCCGTATGGAATTTCAAACTATTGGCATAAGAAAACTGAAGTGAATATAATCAGCTAGAAATTACTACCGCGCACAAAAAATGTGCAATTTGAACTATCAAAATACTAAATTACTTTTACGATCTGTTTGGAAAAGAGTATATTTAAATTTAGAGTGTTCAAATTCAAATTAATTATTTATTTATGTAAATTTTTTATATAATTGAAATTGACACAAATATATATATTTTAAAGTTTAAAATAAATGTATTTCAAATGCATTCCTTATCCATTGAATTTGAAATTAAACTCTAGTATTTGATTTAAGATGGATTTCTTATACTTTTCCATCAAGCTCCGCTCCCAAACACAACCTCAATAAATTTTATTAAGGTATTTAAATACTTTAGTAACCTACTGTTTACACTAAAGATGCATATCTGTTAATTTATTTGAGAACTGTTTAGTGGGGAGCAGAACAACATTGAGACACCCTTTCTTCCTCAAATGAGTTCGTGGGTGGCTTTTGTTTTCTTCCGTTCATATTTGTCAACCACTAATAAAAATGTAGGCTTAGACATTCCCACATTTTAAATTAATGTATTTATTTTAATTCCTAAAGAGTTATTTATTTAACATTAGAAGGGTTCAAACCCCCAAATCTTGCCAACAAATTCCAAATTAATGTTTGTTTGTGCTTTGCTGGATGCTTCTTCCTGTTTTGTCTTCCGCACAACTATATACAGCAATAACTGGCTGTCTTTGAGATCAAACAGAATTTTGGGTCGGGTTTTGTCTGTTCCCCTATCCTTTCTCACTTCATTTCTTAACTAAAGTTTGCCCTTATAACCTTTTTAATAATCCAAATAGTGGGACCAACTACTACCACTATACCTTATTTTCACCAAATTTTAGATTTTCTAATCACAAATTTGGAAATGCAAAAGGGCATTTTAGTAACTAAGACTTAAGCTAGGGTTTTGTGTTTGATTCCAGATATTTACATATAAAAGTTGGCTGGAGAGTCTGTGCATACATTGATACAAACAGATATAAGTCACTTACTAAGCATTCTGTTTGCCCATCCCCTGTGTTTTTGCTCTGTTTTTCTCTTCCTCTGTTTCTTCACTCCCCGTTTGAGGTACACTTTTGCCAACACTTCTTTCTTCTTCTTTGTTCTCTCTATTTCATTTTCTACCTTATACAGAGGAGGAACCTGAGTAATTCAGCATGCAGAGGTTTCTTCAACAAAGGGGAGTTAAGGAGGTAAATAGAAGTTGCGTAGATTGTCACACAACGAGAACACCCTTATGGAGAGGTGGTCCAGCCGGACCCAAGGTAACATGGTTCTTTACAATAGTCAGTGCAGGTCTTTGATCTGTCACTGTCTTTACAGTGAAACAAAGTTTGGTCTTTTCCGATGTTGATTTTTGTTCTTTTGTACTCTAATTTCAGTCACTTTGCAATGCTTGTGGGATCAAATACAGGAAAAGAAAGAAGGCTCTTCTTGGTTTGGGCAAGGAGAGAATAGAGATGAGTAAAAGAGAAAATGGGATGGAAATGCTATTGCGGAGAAAACTGTTAGGAGAAGAAGAAAAAGCTGCTATGCTCTTGATGGCTCTGTCTTGTGGCTCTGTTCATGCATGGAATAGAGGCAAAATCTAGAAAAATTGAAATAGAAAATCAATCAGCCCTTCTTTTTGGCTAGCCAATAAGAACCCTTTCTAGTTTCTTTTTTTTTTTTTTTAATTTGTTTTGCATTTTTTTTGTCATTTTTTTAGAACCTTAGAGGCAGGATTCAAATTTCATACAATTAAATTTAATTCAAAAAATCTCTAATATAGAAAGAGTGATAATTAGACTACAAGGATTTTTTTTTTTTTTTGGGGTCAAATATTTAGTTTGCCTTTTAACCAAGGAAATTTGGGTCTAATGAAAAAAAGAGAATGGAGGGGGATTGGGATGGGAATCTAAGCCTTTTGGGATGAGGGAATGAAATTGAAGAGGAATTATTCAAGCGGAACTCCTTTGAGACCTCTCTAGAATGGGGTCCAATAGGCACTTTTAGATCTAAAATGAAGATTTTTTTTCCCCAGAAAGTTGAAAGAGTCTAAAATGAGAGTGCACTCGCTAAAATATAAAAATATTGAAGAATTATTAATGAATTAAATAATTAAATGATAATTTTTTTAATAAAATTAAAAATTAAAAATTTGAATTGTAAGTATAATTGTGGAATGAATTAAAAGATAAAATGTAATTGTTTTGTATTATATCATTTAATTTCTTTTAAAAGAAATTATTGAAGAGTTTGAGTGAAATTTTGACAAAAGTCAATTGAAAAGATAAATTTTTTTAGGAGATCAAGAACTATTTTCACATTTCTTTTTCCATCATGAGGCATATTATACATGAAAATTTTGAATAAAGTTAAACATTTTTATTTAATCAATTCAAGCATTTTGACTCGTCATATGTTACTTTAAATGTTTTTGCTTGACATTTACACTTTTATATTTGTGCTTGGTGTATTATCTTTACACTTGGGAGTAATGACACAGCTAATGATGTTCTAACTAAGTCACGTCTATAATTGGATGAGAACTATTTTCTTGATTTCCAATTAGTTATTGAAGTAGAGATAAATTTAGAATTTTTATTTATTAATAGCAAATATATAGAATGATAAGTGTAATTTAATAAGCATGTAAAAACATTTAAGTTAAAACTAATTAATAATAGAAAGATTCAACTTATTTAAAAGGTCTTTTAGAAAATCTAAAATTTTGTACATCTTTAATGGGGGAGTTTGGTCAATTAATACTATTAAAACTTAAGGGCGAGATTATTCTTATAATCAACTCTTTGATGTTTTATTGAAAGTCATAGTTAAAAGAAAAATCTAGAAGTTCCAGGGGATTCCGCACGCTTCCAGTTCCAGGTTTATCCAACCCAAAAGCAAAAGAAGTATAAAAGTTGACACGTAAGGCAGCGCAAGAGCAGCAAAAGCCGATGCCACTTGGACGCCTTGTACACGTGTCTTCACAATACTCTTCTCCAGAAACTCCTCTCTCTCACTACTTTTCTACGCTTTTCTCCTTCCTCTAACTGCAATCAAAGAAATCGAACGACTTTAGCAGGAAAGGAAGCAAAAATGCAGTCAAGACATGCAACAACAGCATCGTCAAGGTTGTACCGCGCTCTGTTTGTAGGCCGCAATGAGCAGGTTCTTCCGCACAGATTCACGGTAGCAGCCTCAACTTCCAACAGAAGCAAAACTGCTGACCCGGCTATTCACTACGGCGAACTTGAAGCCGGTCCTGAGGTTCACCTCTGTGAACCTCAAGTAAGTCTCTTTCTTTCTTTGGATTCCTTGAATTCCCATTTATGGGGTGCTATGATTCTTATAGAAACAATTATCTTTTTCGTTTTTGGTAAAGCAAAATAGATAGATGCTAACAAAACAAAAGGCAGAATTTGTGAGGGGAATTTAAACGAACCAGTGATAGGCACAAATGCAGACAAACAAAGCGATACATCTTTCAATCGGATTTCTGATTTATGCACTTTTTTCTTGCAGGGCACAGAAAAATCGGGAGCAGTAAAGGCTGATCACTGGGAACGAGGAACAGGGACAGATCCATTGGTGCAGCCGAAAGCTCCACTCACCTCTTCTCCAAGATTAGAAAGCACAGAAGTGAATCACCCATCGGGTCACAATTTACAACAAAAGCGCACCGCTGGCAGCAGTGTTGCACCGCTTGAAGAGGTCAGCTGCGTCGGGCTCGACGGCTCGCCATGGCCGAAGGACAAAAAGGAAGAGCAAAAGTCGGAGCGAGAGCAAACACTGGATGACAGAGAGTACTACAAACACCATAAGGCCTCGCCGTTGTCGGAGATCGAGGTGGCAGATACAAGGAAGGCTATTACGCAGGCTACAGATGGGACGGCAGCAGACCCGTCGGTCTACGGTGGTGGCAGAGACGTGATGGAGTGGAGACCAGAGCAGCTAGACACGGCTGAGGAGGCGCTGAAGAGAGCTGCTCTGATTTGGAAGCAAAACGCGATGCGGGGTGATCCAGACAGCCCGCATGGAAGTGTTTTGAGGGAACTCCGTGGGGAGTGGTTTTGAGAAGAGAATCATGATGTTGAAATAGAGTCCTTTTAGATGGAGATTGATTGTGAATGCTTTAATTGCAACGAGCTTTCTGCTTTTGTTTCCTTTGTAAATTGTAAATAGAATCACTTCTCTACTTACTTTTAATCGAGCGTTTAAGTTTGTGTGGATTTACTTAAATAATTTAGTGGTGTTTTTTTTTAAATAAAGAATTTTAATTTTGAATTGTATGATACGTGGATATGGTTAAATAAAAAATAAAATATGGTTATTTTTTATTGTGTAATTAAAATTAAAAAAATTAAAAATGATATTGAATATGTTTATTTTTTTATTTATATTTTAATAAAATAATTATGATATGTATTAAACAAAAGATTTTATTTAAATGGTAATAATAATAAATATAAAATTTAATTAATTATTTATTATATTTTTATTTTATTAAACAAAAGAAATTAAGACTACTAAAATTAAACTAGTTTAAAATAAAATTGAACATTATAGACTTGAAATAATACCATTATGGATTCAAAGTTGAAAGCCTTAAAACAAGAAAATACTACTCCAGTCTTTTGAAGATTTGCCCATTCAACGCCTTTGAATTTACGCTACTCAAAAATCCATTTCAATGAGAGAAATGCACCTTTATTTAATTTAATTGTCTTAATTTTTTTTAATTTTTTAAATATTAATTTTAAATAAAAATTTAATATTTTTTTAATGTTGGTTTCAACTCAAAATCAATATAATTATCATTGAATTACTTAAATCATTAATAAAAAAATTTAATAAAAATTTAAATAATTAGTAAGCAGCATTTAACTAAAAATTTTTTTATATGTAATTTTTATTACTAAATAATTTCATTTGAGATAAACAAAATTTTTTATTATGACTTACTAGTATTTCAATTAAATTTTCATGTGAAATTAATACTCATAAATCAAAAAGTTAATTTAAGAGAAATAAACTTGAATTAAAGTAGCATCTGATATTAACGCTTCTACCTCGCTAGTAAGGAGAGTGTCGGCGGAGAAGAGGTGTGCCATGTACCTAAATAAATTAGATAAATGAGTTTTCTTCATTTTTCTTTTTCTCATTTTTTTGTTCTGTAATTCTCCTTTTAGTTTCTACCATATGTTGATGGGATAGATATTGGGTATTTGGGTTTCTTCCATCATCCTCTAGAGTCTAGACTTAGGAATGGTTTTTAATGGATGGCAAGGTCTATGGTGGGGATTGAGTTATGGCAGCCAAAAATTTTAGAGTGGTCCTATTTTTATTTTGTTTTGTTTTATTACCTTTGTGTGCCCGACACAAACTTTATAAAAATGTAGGTGAATTATTTAAATAATTTAATA